CAAATAAAGTATCATTAACATAAATTTAGACAATCAGTAGTTCATCTCCTATCTTTTTTGAAATATGGAGGTGCCTATGCTCCCCTTAACAAAAGTTCTTTCTAGTAGGAATGTGCTTAGCCTTTCATACCTTGCCTTAGGTGCTTGTTTCAGTCCATATAATACCTTTTTTAAATTTGAACACATGATTAGCAAATTGTGAATTTTTAAAACATAGGGGTTGTTCAACATATACATCTTTTATTACCACAATCAAAAATGAACTTTTGACATCCATTTGGTACAATTTAAATACCTTAAAACAAGTAAAGGCTACTAGCACCCTAATGGCTTTTGATCTAGCTACAATGGAAAAAGTCTCTTCAAAATGAATTCCTTCTATTTGATTATACCTTTTAGCTACTAATTTTGCTTTGTTTCTAACCACTACACTAGAATCATTCATTTTATTTTCAAAAATTCATTTAGATCCAACAACACTCTAGTCCTTAGGTCTTTTAACTAGCTCCCAAACATCATTTCCTACAAATTGATTTAATTCTTCTTGTATGTCTAGGATCCAGAATTCGTCATATAGGGCTTAATTTATGTTGGTGGGTTAATTCAATGAAATGAAAGTAGAGTTGTTTACTTCCATTCTTAGTTTATGCCTAGTTATAATACCTTCAGATAGGTCTCGTAAGATCAGTTCTTTAGGATTACTTCAAGAATATCTCAATTCTCCGGGCAAAATATTTTAGTTTCTACCGTTTCCTCCATATTTATAAATTCTAATCCTTAGGTAATTTCTACAACCTATTCTTCTTCTACCCTAGCCCCTTAAAAATTATCAAATTCATTAAATGCAACACCAGTGGTCTCCTCTACTACTAGTATTCTTTTATTGAAGTCTCTATAAGATTTTTAAACATTTAAGTAACCTAGGAACATTTAAGTAAACATTTATAAACTCTGGGAATTCAAAAAAAATTTCGATTGTTTTTTAAATTTGTCTTCTCCCGTTGTTTTCACGGCTAGGTTGGCAGTCCGTTCTCCGCCGTATCGCCGACGGGATTTGAATACGGAGATGGAGGGGAAGCCTCTGTCATCGTCTGATGCTTGTACAAATATCCATAGAAGTCTCAATGCTCCGGTGCGAGTGTCTTAAGATGTTTTCAATGGAGGACAGAAGACTGGTTCAATGTTCAATAGCCATTTCAAGGAAAAGCCTCTGACGATCAAAGAAGGTGGATTGTTGAAAAACAAATCGATTCCGATGGTGACTGGTAAAGGTAAGGAGATTTTCAAGGAAGATGATTTTCTCAGCTTGAAGAATTTTAAAACAGCAATTGAATTCAAGGAAATGATGGAGAATTTCAAAGGAGAATCTTCCAAGTTGGTAGGAAAGATTAATTTCAAAACTACAACTCTCCCAACCACTCCAATTTCCTGTAAAATTGTGGAGTCTTCCCATGATGTTATCATTAAAGCAAATGGGAATAAGGTGATTGAAGAATTTCCTCTGTTGGCTGATAAACAGGGAAATGGTGATGAAGCTGTTAACAAATCTAAAGATGATAATAACATGAAGGTTGTAAATTCTGCTTGGTCGAAGATACAAAACATAAGGGTGGATAAATTAGATCTGGGATCATTCTTATATGATGATGGAAATACAGTCCAGCTTCACGCAGAAAATGAAAGCATCAATGCTAAAAAATTGGACTGTTCTTTGGTGGTGAAATTATTTGGTGACATATTACTGTTTTCTTCAGTTTGTATTGAACTGAGAAAGCAATGGAGAAGATTTGGAAAGTTTCATATAACGGGTTTAGGCACTGGATGGTTGCTTTGCTCATTTGAAAATCCAGAAACAGGAAGAAGTTATGACAGAAGGTCCTTGGTATGTTAAAGGGCATGTGGTGGGGTTAGACAAAGGGTCTCCCTTGTTCTCTACAAATTCTTTGAAAGGGATTTCAGCTCCATTATGGATAAGATTACCTAATCTTCCTTTGCAATGTTGGGATGATATAAAGATTTGTAGGATTGCATTGAAGGTGGGAAAGCCATACTTGCTTGATGGAAACTCGTTTCAATGGGGTAGAAGAGAATACGCTAGAGTTTGCGTTCGTGTGCCCTTGTATGAAAAATTACCACTTGGAGTTTGGGTGGAAGGCTTATATGATAAATTTTTCCAGAAAATCATTTATGAAGGCATTTCAAAGTTATGTTATGAATGTGGCTTCATTGGTCATACCATAATAGAATGTATGAAATTTAAAGATAAGAAGGTTTCTTCCCTTGATGTTCCTATTTTGGATAAAAAGAATCTAGATCAAGACTGCTCCAAAATTGAAGATAGCTCAAAGCAGCTAGAAGATGATAATAAATATGGATCGTGGATACAAGCAAAGTATGGTAAGAAGAAGGTTTCTAGAAATACTAGAAGAATGACAGGTACTCCTTTTAAACAAAGAGTTCCTTCAAAAAAAGTTTTTGTTCCAAAGAAACAAATTTCTTCAAACGAGCAAGCTCTACAGTTACAAAAAGATGTTTTGAAGAATGCTCAGAACATTTTTTGCTTCTGTAGAATAAGTTTGTGTTCATCATGTAGAAGCTTTTGATTATGCAAATAGTGTTGAAGATCAATCTAAAATAGCTCAAGTCCCGATTCTAAACAAATTTTTATATTCTTTCTGATATAGAAGATAATCTGATAAATGAGCATGGGAAGGAGAAAGCTAATAAAGATGTTGAAGAAGGGGAGATATTACATGATCTATTTACTGATGCTAATGAAATAGCTGCTATAAAGATTCAAGAACAGATGGTAGGACCCGAAGGACTAAACAAGGAGATCAAGACTGTTGAAAATTCTTCTTCAGGCAAGAAAGTCAAGTTGCTTAAAGAACTAAAATCACTGGGATATGGAAATATAGTCAAGCATAACAGGAAGTTGGAGAGTGGAAGAAACAAAAAGGGTGGGGGGCCTTCCCCTCTTTCTAATCAATGACTTTTCTAGCTTTTTGGAACTGTAGAGTGGCCAAAAAGAGAGAGGTCGTTCTATATCTCAAGGAGGTTGTTAGAGAAAATGATGTTTTTTTTGGTTGTGGGAATAGTTGAAACCAAAGTTAGTACATTGGAGAATTTACATATTTTGAAATTTCTGGGTGACAAATGGGAATCGTTTATGATTCCTTCTGTTGGGCTTTCTGGAGGTATTTTGGTGCTTTGGAGGAAGGATGTAGTAGCTTTTTCATTATTGGAAATTTCTTCACAAGTTATCATTGGTGATCTTGAAGTTGACAATAAAGGATGTTGGAAAGTCTCCACTATTTATGGAAGCAGGAGTATGGTGGAAAGGAAATCTCTATGGGAGATTTTAGAAAAAAAGGTTTGATAATAATAAACCAGCAGTTATTGGAGCAGACTTTAACTGTATCTTGTCACAAGAGGAGTAAAGAGGAGGCAAAAAATTTATATTCTCTCAAGGAGAAAAAGATATGAAGATGTTTATGAACAACAATGACTTTCATGAAGTTAGGTTTATTGGACCCAAATTTACTTGGTGTAACAACAAAACTGGGGGAGGACGCATCTTAGAAAGACTGGATAGATGCCTTATTAACTCTTTTGCTATGAATTCTATTAATCTAGCCTTGGTTAAACATTTGTCACGTATAGCTTCAGACCACTGCCCTATTCTTTTGGAGATGTTAAAATCGATGGCTTCTAACTACAAATGTATACATTTTGAAGATGTATGAAGTACTTATCATGGGGCTTTTGCTATTGTAGAAAATACATGGAAGATGGGTGGAGGAAATGATCCAGCAAGTTCTTTAAACCTTAAGTTTAAAAGGACTCTTAAATCCTTATTCTATTGGAGTAAGGCTAAATTTAAGAGTTTAAATGTTTTGAGAGATTCATTGAAGAAAGAGATTTATGATTTAGAACTTGAAGAAGCTGATGGGATGCTCACCGAGACAAAGCTGCTACTGCTCAGGTTAAAGGTAAATGAATTAAACCCTACTTTGGCTAGATTAAATATATGGTGGAGGCAAAGAGCCAAGGCTAGATGGTTAGAAGAAGGTGATACAAATTCAGCTTTCTTCCATTCTTTTGCAAATGCAAGAAAGAGCACAAACTGGATAAATCAAATAAAAATTGAAGATGGTACTTTCATGGATAAAATCAAAGATATTGATACAATTTTTACAAACTTCTTTAAAGCCAAATGGAGACATAGGAACTGTAAACTAGATGGATGGCCGCAACCGGTTGCTGTGTTAGAGAAAGAAGGTCAACACAAATTAGATGCAGATTTTTCAAAGGAGGAACTTGAAGAAGTGGTGAACAACTTGGGGAAGAACATCTCACCAGGAATTGATGGAATTACATTCTCTTTTATCAAATGCTATTGGAAGGTAATTCAATTTGAAGTTTGGAATGCTATTAACATGTTTTTCAAAACAGGAATTATGAATCAAAACTGGAAGGAGACATTGATTGTGTTAATTCCTAAAGTGCAAAATCAAGTTTGTCCAGAAAATTTATGTCCAATTAGTCTTTGCATGACTACGTATAAATTAGTGGCAAGAATGTTGTTGAATAGGATGGAAATGGTTATACACAAGGTTATTTCAAATGACCAAGCAGCTTTCTTAAAAGGGAGATCATTGAACGACCATGTTCTTTTGGCTCAAGAGGTATTCAACAAAATTTGACATTCAAAAGCTAAGAAAGGATTTTTGGCAATCAAAGTTGATATGGAACAAGCTTATAATAGCATGGGATGGCAAGATTTGAGGCAAGTCCATCATTTTAAATTCCCTACCAAATTTTTGGATTTAATTGTGAATTGTATTTTAGATCCAAAATTTTGTTTATTGATTAATGGGAATAAATCAAATTGGATTGAAGCTAAAAGTGGGTTTAAACAAGGATGTCCTCTATCCCCATTTATTTTTATTTTGTGTTCATAAGTGTTATCAGATGTTATCTATCAAAGTGGAAAGAAGATGGGTATTCAAATTGCTTCTAAAGCACCAAGAGTGTCACATTTGCTCTATGCGGATGATATACTAATTTTTTCTGAAGCCAACTTGAAGAAGATCAAGAAAATCAAAAAGACTTTGAACAACTATTGCAAATGGACCGGACAAAGGGTTAATTTCAAGAAATCTATGATGGTGTTTGGCAAAACAGTGAATCAAAGGAGAAAGAAAGAAATTGAAAATGCCTTAAAATTCAGTTCTGCTATAGAAATGAATTATCTTGCTATTAAGCTTACGTTAAGGAGGATGGTAAGCTCTGATTATAATAAACTGATGGAAGTTGCTTTAAATAAGCTGAATATAAGGGGAAAGAATTTTATCTCATTGGAAGGTAAAATGGTCTTATTGAAATCAGCTTTCTTATCTCTTCCAATTTTCCTATCAACTCTTTCCTTGGTGCCTTTGGGGATCTTAAAGGAGTTTGACAAGATGTGTAGAGATTTCTTATGGAATAAGAAGAATGGGAATTTGGGTTTGCATTCTGCCTCTTGGAAGGAGCTTTGTAAACCAAAACAAAAAGGAGGAAGAGGTCTCTTTTCAGCGGTTGAAAAAGTGGGTCATCTTAGAGCCAAGTTTGCTTGGAAATTCTATATGAAACCGGAATCATTACTCATTTGCATCCTTAAAGCAAAATATGGAGATGATTTATGGAAGAATATGGAAACAAAAGGAAGTTCTTCTACTTGGAGAATAATTTGTAATGGAGCTAAATTTTTTATTAACATTGTAAGATGGAAAATCTGCAATGGGATTTCTATTAACTGGTTGAAGGATGCTTGGATATTGGATAGGAATATATCCAAATGTCCTACTTTTGTTAGTAACATGGAGATTAACAACTACAAACTGGAATTCTTTTTGAAGGATGGAGAATGGAACCTGGAACACCTTCAAATGTTCTTTGGAAAAGAATTAATTGATCTCATATTAAAAATTCCAATCTTTATAAATCAAGGAGCGGATCAAATTGACTTGAAGAAGAAAGCTTCTGGTTGTTCAGTAGCAGCTATCTCTCAGGCTTATTTTTATAAAGAAGATGCAAACTGTGAATTGTGGAAGAGGTTAAAGAATGTTAAGCTTAGACCAAATGTTGTGTTGTTTTGGTGGAGAATGTACAAGAATGCCATCCCAAGCTTCACTTTCTTATTTTACAGAAAGATTACTTCCTTCACGGGTTGTCCAAGAGGATGTAAAAAAGATGAAGATAATAATCACATTGCTGGAGAATGTGATAAACTGAAGAAGGTTATCTTTTGGCTCAACAAATGGGGAATTAAAGTTCCACAATTTGTTTGCTTTCATGATTGTTTAAAAGAATTGGAGAGAATGTCTTATAAGAATCCATTGGTGGTTAACATCTATTGTAATGAAGTCTTTCTTGTATGAAAAAGCAGGAATCAGTTAATTCATGAAGGAAGGGTAGAAAATGATCGTTATATTGCAGTCAATACTATATCCATGGCTGCTATAACACCGGTGATTAATGTCCAAATGGAAAACTGGGATGTTAATCAGCATATGCTGTTTTCTTCTTGGCTTCCTCCTCCACCTGGATGGATAAAAATCAATGTGGATGCATCATTAAACATCAATTATTCAGCTGTAATTGCTGGAGTTTGTAGAGATGAAAAAGGAAGGCTATTACTTGCTTTTGGGAATCAACTAATGCATTGGGTTATAGGAGAATTGGAACTACAAGTGATACTCATGATTAAAGATGTAATACAAGATTGGATGTTGGAAGCTCAAGGAATGATTCTTGAAGGAGATAACTTCAACATCATCAAGATTCTTCAACAAGATTTGAAGAACTTCAAATCAAAAAGAATAATTGAAGATAAGTTATCCTTCATTTTAGATTTAATTCAAGTTTCTTTTAGTTTTACTACTAGAAATTGTAATAAATTAGCGGATTATTGTGCTAATTTAGCTTTAAGAAAAAATTTTATTTGGAATGATCTAACTAACAATGAAATTCCTCCATCATTCATTCATATATTGAAGGACGAATTTAATTTGTTAGATTGTTAGTTGTGATAACTTCTTTTTTATTATTTATTAATGCATCTTGCTACTTTTTCTAGCTTTTTTCAGCCACCACCACCACCTCCTTTAGATGATCAGGGGCCGTCCTACATGTAGTTTGTTTTCTTGTGTTGCTTTTTCTGTGATGTACTTTGTTCCTTTTTGTAGTTTATATTTCTTGTTTTTAGTTCCCTCCTCCATTTTTTGATGTCAAAAGGGGGAGTAGTTGTACTGTTTTATGTTATTTAGTTGTACTGTGTTCGTCTTTTAGTAAAATTTTAACTTCTTGATTCACATTATTTTTCCTTCTGATGTTTTAATTGAACTGCTTAAATTGTTTTTTTAACCATCAGCAAAAAGGGGGAGATTGTTATGAATTTGATTTCATGTAATATAATTTTGATAATAGCAAATATTTCTAATACTTCTATTTTTCAACGACTACCTTGCCTACTAATGTTTCTGGTCCACAAGGTCGAGTGTAAATCAAGCCAGCTCAGGATTTGGTAGACTAGGGGTGAGTAAGTATGTAAGGGTTTTATCCTTTCCTTGAGTCTATTGTAAAAAAGTGGATCCTGATGCTAAGTAGCCTTGCACACGCATACTCATAGAAAAATTCTATCTATTTTTAGTATTTTCTATCTTAGATAATATCGTCCATACAATCCAAGATCATCCTGGATGATCAGTCAAAAATAGAAACCCTAATTAGGGTATCCTAGTTAAGGTAGCCATAATTAAGCAAATTATCTTGGATGATATTAGCATCGTTCTGGATGATATGCTCAAATTAGAAAAAATCAGCTGCCATAACCTTTTATGCATGTTTTATTTTTTGATATCATCTAGGACACCATTCTAGATGATGCAATACATTTATACCTAAATTAGTTTGGTATTTAAGGAAAGCAATTAAGGTTTGATTTCTCAATCATATCTTCCTAGATGATCTCAGGATCATCTATGATGATCAGTTAAACAAACCTTAATTACTTCTTGAACGACCTGAATGATACTCTTTATGATAAGTTTTGATTTGAACTAATCATCTAGGATGATCACAAATCTTCTTGGATGATCAATTATTTTTTCATCGTCCAAACATACATCTTGGGCAATATTTTGGATGATATTTGACTTTTTGTACTAATCATTCCGTACGATCGTGAGATCATCCTAGACGATCTAGTTATTTTTTCATCATCCAGACATCCATTCAAGGAAATGTTCTGGATGATATTTGATGACTTAAACTAATCATACAAGATGATATCGTATCATCCTAGATAATAAGAATAAAGGAACCTTCTAATCATCAAGACTCTCCCAAATCATCCTAGCTGATTGAGCTAAATTTGAACTAATTGTACATGATGATCAGTCGATCGTCCTGGACTAGCTTTGACGATTAATTACAAATTAGGGAAAATTTGAAGCCCTTCTATATAAAATCTCTTGTTTACTCAAGATGTTATTTTTTGCTACAGTCCTAACCTGAGAGAGCCAAGAGGAGAGGGAAAGCAAGGGAGAGAAAGAGAGAATCTTGTGAGGGGTTGTTTGTGAGAGGTTTCACAAAGGTTGCTCCAAGCATGGATCTGAGTTACCTTCTCCGATCATTATTCTTGGTCCCTTGGAGGTCTGAGGGAGGTCTACTTCAGCAACTGATCGAGGTCCTCTGATGCTTCAGGAGGAAATAAAAGGAGTTGGGGTCTCTACCTCACAGGGATTGATAGAAAGGAGTTTTTATACAAACTTCTCCGCCTTACTGTTGGGGAAAAACTAGAGATACTGAGTTTAGTGAAATACCCTTAGGAGAGGCTCCGGGGAGTGGACTTAGGTCAAGTTGACCAAACCATTATAAAATTTGGTGTGTTTGTTCTTATTATTTTGTTGCATTTAATTTTCGTACTTTAATTTCTATAGTAATATGTAAAAAAATATTTTCATCCCGTATGATTTTAAAATTGTAAGTACGATCGAATCTTTGTACTGTACTATATGTCATTTCTTTATAAATAGAATAGTTTTTGTATTTTTTTTCATCAATTTCTTATTCATTCCAAACCTTCAATAGGCTATATTTTAGAAATGGCCAGTAATAGCAAAACACCCCACTTTTTTAACGGATCTTCATCTTGAATGGGTAGGGATAAAAAATTCTTATCCAAAGAAAATGAGGATGCTTATTTTAGATATTCTGCTGCTAAGATCACCCCTTCTCGACTTCTCATTCAAAGTGACATCCATTTCTCTATTATGCCTTTATTTGCCTCGACTTAGTTATCATTTATCTTGACCTTCATTTACGTCTACCACAAAGAAACTTTTTATTTCTTTTTAGCCAACATGAAAGTTAATTAGGATCACACTAGAATTATATCCTATGTCTTTAAACATTGTGTTGAAATAACAAAGGAAGATTTAGGCAACTTTCTTCATTTAAAACCCAAGTGATTAGGGCACATACTTTAACCTCTATAGTTGAATTTGATTGGTCTGAAATTAATCAAACTCTTAGATGTGTCGCCCAAGTAAGTCATTTGGTTCATGTCTACACTTTAAACCAAAATGCCCGAATCATCCATAATGTTTTGAGAACTTTTATTATTCCAAAAGCTGGGGATCGAATTAATATTACTCTTTTATCCACGTTCACCTACTTGATAATCACTGAAAATCCTTTTGATGAAGCCCAATTGATCATGAATTATCATTATAGTCTTTCTAAAATTAGACTTCCTCAATATAAAAGGAAGAAAAACGTGGATTTAGGACATCTAGATGCCTATATCCTTGAAAAGAAGTTTAATCTAGTTCATCTTGAACCTCCCACTGAACTCCCTGTATACTTTATTGAAGCCTCTTTTCAGACACTTTTGTGGAGAGATCAAAGTTTAAGTGAAGATTTATATGAAGAAGGGGGAGCTCCTGCTCAAGCACCTGCACTTGTTCCTAGACCTGATCATTAAACTTCTACCAAGAGAAGGTCCAATGCCTTAATAGATTAGAAACTCATTTTGATCAACATTTTGATCAAATTGAGAATCACCTAAATTAGCAGGATGCAAGGTATAAGGAAGACATGGGTTGGATCCAAGGGAAGTTTGAATCAGTGAACATCAATGTAGATATATGTGAACATCAATGTTGACATGGTTTGCATGCAAAATTAAAAAAAGGAAGGATGCTCAATGGTTCGCAAAATTTAAAGAGGCACAAAATTAGCCAAAATAGAAAAGATGTACAAAGTGTTCTACAAATTTTTGAAAATATGCGAAATATCACCAATTGAAAATCTTTATTGAGTAATTTACTTTATCATTCTATCTTTAATCCAATCAATCTAATTAGCAATCATATTCAAAATTGAATTCAAAATTCATTAAATCTGTATTTAATCATTTTTGCACTAATCATTTTTATTTAATTTGTCTAGCATGCATAATGAACCTGGTTGCCTTATTTTTTCTTAGTTGTCCTTTGATTTAAAGTTTTGAACTTTTTTCTTTTTAGTATTATGAAATTAAAAATGTATTTGTAACTGGTTTATAATTTTTTCTTCTTCATCTCTTTTGATTTTTCTATAGAAACATTTCATTTCAAGTTATACTTTCCTTTTTATTGTTGTCAAAAGGGGGAGTCTTAATATTATTTGATTGTTTGACGGTTTGTGTATGTGTGTTGTATTTGTTTTGAATGTGTGTATGTGTGTGTGTTTCTATTTGTGTTCGAGTTATTTTGTTTTACAATTTTTGTTTTTTGATCTTAATGGAACCCCCTTGTTTTTAAATGGGTCATTCATTTAGGGAGAGCTAATATTCATTTAGGGAGAGCTAATGAGAAAAATTATTTTAAATGTTAACTCAAATAATAATTATTTTACCATCATAAAAAAGGGGGAGATGGTTGCATCTTAGTTTTCATAACTATGTTTTTCAAAACATATGTGTTTTTTATGATTCCAAAATATTATTATATTGATTATCATTTCCTCCTAGCATATATTGGGAATATTGCTTTTATTTTTTGTGTTTACTAATGTTTCAGAGAAATCATACTCCATACTACTGAAGTCTTCAAAACTAATTAGATTAGGTTTTATTATATTTAAAGTCTATACTTTTTATATGTTTTCTTGAGTCTACGAGAGTATGATTATAATTGAGTAACCGTGCACACATATAGTAGGAGAGTGTAAATTTTTTATTTTTTAAAACTAATCGTACTTTATGATTTGGGATTGTACCGGACGATTTGGTCTAGGTATTCCTCTAGAAAGCAGTTAATCAAATCATGCATGAAAATTTCTAGTATTATTCATACTGTATGAAGTTGCCTTCTTGTAAATGATGTCCTTAGTA